GGTAAAGTCTATGATACAGAATCCGATTAATAGCCTTGTCCTGCTCTAAACTTTTCAGGCAATCCATTAGTTTCTTCTCAGACTGAAGAAGTCTCTTGGAAGAGAGACGAAACGTTTCATTAGAGAAGAACCCGTCCAGAGGACCTATACAATTTTTTTCCTTTTGATTTTTTACCTGGATTACTGAGATGCATCAGGATACATAGAAAAAAGCAATCCCAATAGTACAAGAAGAGTAGACAGTAAGAAAACCAAAATAAAAAAAATGGAAAAGGTGACTGAGAAGTAGCCTACTGCTAAATGGAAGGATGTAAAAATGTGCGCATTTGTAGTTATGGACAGATTCAGACGCAGTGAAATGTTCCAACTTTCCCATTAGCTTGTTAAATAGCGAGATGGAAAATGGTATGAATGACCCCATGAAGTGTTCTTTGTGGCAGTGGAACTAAGTGCGTTTGTTGGAGAAAGAGATCTGCTGCCTCCGTTGCATGTCATGAAGGAGGGCGGGATGAATTGTTAATGATGGAGAACAGTTTGTTTAATGACATACTGTCTTTACAGGTTTTGTCCAGGCTCTCATTTTTTTCTTTCAATCCAAAACATAAGGTCTAATCAGGAAAACATTTCTTACTGTATTTGCTAAGAGTAATGTGTCAGGTTTATAAACACTTGTGTTGCTGTATTAGAAAGATTCAGTAATCAGGCTGCAGTGAGGAGCCTGGTCTTCCTGTCATTTAAAGAGGATCATTAAGTGTTTACCTCTCAATGAGGACCAACTGCCTGCGTATAATGAAAAACTGAAGGGATGATCGATCCTCTGATGGAAACTTGCTGACCTGAAATGGGTCCTTTTGTTTTCTTTGTTTGTAGCCTCTTAGTTGAAATAAGATGATCCTCAAGCTTACCTAAAACTTTACCATTATTCCCAAGAGTTTGTTTTAGTTGAAGGTATCAAAAACTCATTTTCAATTCAGTTTGTTTTGTAAGGAGAATGCTGTTTGTTTTGTTTGTTTCAGGAGAATACTCTCTGTCTCACATATTCACGCATTATTATTATTATTACTTTTTTTTTGTATTTCCTAATACCTGGAGGTAGTCGTGACAGGAGCAAACATGTCTGAGACAATCACATTGCTTAGATTTCACTTAAACTGACAGTTTGCTCTTCCTTGCCTTGCCTCACAGGCAATTATCCTTAACCTATTTTTTTAAACAACACCAAGCTTCTCATTAGACTTTATATCTTTAAGCTCACAAACAAAGAGATGTGACTGAAAGTAAAGGAAGTTTTCAAATTGAAGTGTTCTAGATTCAGGCTTGCAGGGAGACGTTGCATGCTGTCACTGCTTTTTGTCAGATATGAGGATTTTTTTTGTGCAGAAATCATCAAGAATGTCTCACAGTTTAATTTCTGCTCTGTTCCGATTCTGTTTATGTTGACAGCTCAAATTGGTAAAACGAGAGCTCCGTATCTGAAGCAGAGGCCTCCATGGTCAGCYATAATTTAATAAGGGATTTCTGAGTGTCACTTTAATAATTTCTGTCAGAAAGTCCCATGGTTTTTCCTTTCATATTTGTATTTCTGATATGTTTGATATGTTGACTGTCCATGCACTTTGATGTAAACTATAACTAGGTCTTCCTCACTTACTGTTAGTACTGTTGTTGTATTTGTACTGAAGAAATGGGCTAGCACAGAAGCTGCAACAATAAATGCCTCCAGTTTAAACAATAGCTGCCTTTTTTTTTCTTTTGCCAGGGACTGCCTAGAGATGCAAAAGAGGCAGTCAGAGCTATCATTGACTTCCGCCTTCTTTTTTTGAAGGTCATAAACAAATCTCCTGTCACGAGCTTTCACAAGCAAGGCTCCTGCAAAGCCCTTTAATATTTACCATTTCCCCAGAGGATCTGCTGAGGCTGGAGCATGAATGATACAAGCAAACTGCACCGCACTGGCTAAATCCTTAACAAAAACCATCACATTTTTCAGAGGATTGCTTGTGTCTGTTGCCTACTGTTATTCTTTTTTTTCTCTGTCTCTCTCTCTCTCTCTTTCTCTCTCCTTTGGTCACTGATGCATCGCTCCAGAGAGGGCAGCTTTGGGTAGAGCTGTGATATGTAACAACATTTCAAGTCTTGAAAGGGT